CAGCCTGGGCTCAGTAAAGGGCTGGACTGTCTATTCAAATCAGAATTATTTTTAGAAAGTTGCTATAGAATTTGTTTCCCCGATCAGCAGGATTTATGGAAAGCCATATGTCGGTATGATTTCCTCAGATGAAGCTTTAGAAATTTCTTTTAGCATCCCGGAGCTGGCCGTGGTGCCTTCTGTGGGCAGACCTGCCCCTCGCACCTGCGGGATTCCCGGGAGGGGCTGAGTGCGGGAGGTTCGCAGTGTTCATTCACCCTTGAGGAACCAGACTCCACCAGGAAGGGCAGAAAGGCTGTTACCATGACCTCTGTTAGCAGCCAAGCTGAGGAAGTGGAGTGATCTGTTTAATCAATACCTTATCTGGATTGTCAGTTGTAAAAGGCTTAGGAAATAATGCAGCCAAATACTCACTTCTGAAATAACACTGTCATTTCACCTTCCTTTGATTCGGAAGGTCCTTTGGAATCTTTGTTTCCTGGGGGAGCTTGTTAATAACAGTTCTGGATGTAGACTGGCTGATAAAGCAGCCTTTATCTTAGTTAGGAAGGGAAATAGGCCTGTGGAAGCCAGGAGAGGGTTGCGAGCCCCAAGCAGAGGAGGGGGTGTTTGCGGTCAGGGGTGCTAGCACTCAGCCTTGTCTAGCTCTCTTGCCCCCCACCCCCGTCTTCCCTTCTGGAGTATTAGCGGGGTCAAGGTCGGGCCTCCTCTTTCCTGTTTTGGTCCTCACCTGTTAGCACCGACTTCTGTGATGCACTTTGAAGTGCATCATTAATAAATCGGATGGCTACTGATTTTCAGCAAAACCCCAGGATTTTCAGCAAAGCTCTCCCCTGGGGATGGCCCTGACTTTGGTCTGTCCGGCCCATTGAGCTCAGTGTGCCCGGACTGGACTCTCACTCAGAAACGGGTTGATGCTGCAGCCTTTCCCATGTTGTGGGCTGGACCACCCGGCTCTGGAGCCTGACTTGGTGCCCTGTCTCGGAGCCAGCTTCCATTATGGGCTTCCAGGCTCATCCTTCAAAGAGCTGAAAATAGCCTCAGCGTTTCCTTCTCTTAGGAGCTTTCTCACCCTTGACAAGCCCTGGGGACAAACAGACCCGACCTCCGTGGCCTCTTGTCTGTCAGCCCCGGTTGAATATTCACTCCGCAGAGCCTCATGCCAGGCATCCTGAAAAATGATAGAAGAAGGAGTGATGCTCTCTTGGCCTTTGAACATTTTATCAACTTACAGGAGAGACCGAGCCAGCACGAAGCAAACGCACGCAAACACAGATGTCAGCCAGACATACATCATTCATTATTCATAAATCCAGTGAACCTAGCCCGGGAACACGTGCTTATAAGTACACAGATCTGTATGCATACGTGTTTATATATACATAGATTTATATGTGCACACGTTTATAGATATACACTGATCTATATGTACATAGATCTATATGTGCACGTGTTTATACATGCACAGATCTATATGCACACATTTAAATATGTAAACAGATCTAAATGTGTATATGTTTATGTATATACATGTTTACATATACACTGACCTATATGTACATGTATTTATATATACAGAGATCTGGATGTGCCTGTGTTTCTATAGACTTAGATCTAGATATATGCATGTTTATACACACAGATCTGTATGGACAAATATTTATAAATACACAGATCTACACGTGTGCATATTTATATATGCGCAGATCTAGATGTACATATATTTATATTACACAGATCTATATGTGCACATGTTTATATACACACACAGATTTATACGTACGTAGAATTAAAGCATTTGCTGAAATGGCCAAAGTGACCAGAGCTGGAAAAAGGTACTTTTCTGCTAAGTTTTGGTTCCCCAGGGATAACACAGAGGACGGGGTCCCGCACAGAGAGGAGAAGGTTTCGGTGCCTGGCACTGCAGACACCGGCGGGAGGCAGTTTGGCGCCTGAGGATTCAGGCTGCCGTGGCTTCTCCGTTAGGATGCCCGTTGGCCCCCTGGCCGTGTCTCGGCTGCAGGCCACGTCGGGGCTGGCGGGTAGGCTAGCCACACGTGGGTTGTGGGACCGTCACCATAAGGTGCCTTGCAGTCCTGATTCTTCCACAGGGATCGTTGCAGAAGAACGAGAGAGGACTATGATTAGGGACGCGATGGGTCAGTGTTCTTCCTTGTCCAACTCAGCTGGGTTGAAGGGGCGGGGGTGAGCAGCGAGCAGCGGGGACTTGGTCCCAGGTGTCCTTCTGCATTTACAAAGGAGGAAACGGACAGCGCCGGGTTGGGAGGAGGCTGGGGCGGTTGTGGTCAGTGCCTCTGACGGGATGTGCTGTAGTCCCGTCTCCTCGGGTACCGTTGTCCTGATGCGCCCTTCCCTGAGAGCTGGCAGAGGGGACAGCGAAGGAGGTCCAGCCCAGCACAAAACCCTGGAAACAGTATTATTGTGCCTCCTCAACCAAAAGAGATCGGATGCACAGGAAGGGGGCCTGATGTGATGTGGGCACAACCAGCAAAGGATGGCACCTGAATTTCAAACCCAAGTGCGTCTGCTCCAAAGCCTGGGATCTGTCGTTAGCACAGCCCTGCCCCCTCTGAAATTCGGCCCTAACTTCACTCCACCCTCAGAACAAGGGTCTCCTAAGATACGAGAGACCTGCACTCTCCAATCTGGCAGGCCCCCCTGCCCCGGGCATGTGTGACCATTTCAAGTTACATTAATTAAAATTAAGTAAAAGTTAAAATTCAGTTCCCAGTTGCACTAGCCACTTTTCAAGAGCTTGTCAGCTATAAGTAGCCAGTGATGACTGAATCAGACCGCGCAGGACACCATCCTCGCAGGAACTTTGCATTAGATCCATGGGGAGTGAGACCACCACTCTAAAACCTTAGCAAACCCAGCTCTGCCCTTTGCCGGCTGTGCATCCATGGGCTGGTTACTTAACCTCTCTGTGCCTCAGTTGCTGCTTCTGTGAAATAGGAATAGTCAGGCAGCTCCTGATAGGGTTCAGAGGAGGGTTCTTTGTAACGTTCTTTTTTTTTTTTCAAATAACATTATTTAATGAAGAAATAAATAGAATGCAATGGCACAGAAATAATAATATGATATTCTAGGTGTATTTCTTTTCACATACATTTTAGATTTAGCTTATAATTACCTACCAAAATCTAATGAAAGTAAGATTGTGACCGCATTAAATTTAATATTTGGACATCATGGGCATGTTTGCAATATTGAGATTTTCCACTCCATGAATATATTGTATCCCAATTTATGTACGTCCTTTTCTTTGCAATGTTCTTAGCCTGCTGCCTGGAGCATCGTGTGTTCTCGACACAGGTTAGTTACCTAAAGAAGTGGAAAGCCTGTTAGTGCGAACATTTTGTGGTTTTCTAAACCCTCTATCAGTTCCGTTTACCTCTGATATTTTTATCTGGGGAAGGTGGGAGGGAGCTTGAATCAGAGGGAGGAGGGTCTTGATAATCTGCATTTGGAGTGCTTCGTGGAGTCCGGGAACTGTGCATGAACGCACAAGATGATTTTATTTCACATCCATTTCTGTAACTCACGCTATGTGCCGGAGTCTGATCTAAGCACTTACCGAGTCTTCCCTCATTTGATCATCCGAACAAGCCTACATGGTAAGGATCCTATCCCCTCATTTTCAACACCCTCCACAGTTCCCGACCTTCCACAGGCTGTGACTTACCTTGGTGAGTCCTGCAGGAGTGTGGAAGGGAGGACAGAGGTAATAAGATTGGATGCTTAAGAGAGTAGAGAAACAAAGAACCATAGAGGGCTAATCGTCTCAGGCTGGGGTACTCCGTGTGCATCACCCAACTTAGCCCACAGCCCTGAGAGCGGGGTGGCCGGCTCCCCAGTGCAGAGATGTGGAAGCCAGCTAAAGAGGGTTAACGACCAGCGCAGCATCACCCAGCTGGCTCACCTTGCTGGCTGTTAGGAGGGAAGGTACCACTTTTGTGTGTTTCACTGTAACATAAGGTAGAAATGAAGGGATGCAGGTAAACAGCCCTCGGGCTGGAGGGGTGAATGAGTTACCCCAGCCGGGAGGGACACGGGAGTCTTCACTGAAGAGGTGGCATTCGAAATGGAGCTTGGAGCGGGGTGGGCTGTGGGTGGGTGGGATCGGGGGAGGAAGCTTCCAGGCAGACGGGGGACACAGGACGTTGGCAGAATGAGGCCAAGGAGGAGGGTCTGCTTGAGTGGGGACGAGGACGCTGCCGCTGATCCTGCTCGGAGTGCCCGGTGAGCGCATGGCCGTAGTCAAAAGCAGATGGGCTCTTAGTTTTGTGATGATTTAAAAATTCTCTACAGACAGTGTACCCTCTTTATTCCGTGCGCTCAGGACAGACCAGCCCTGCCAGCCCCCTCCTGCTGGTCACTAGGTTTGTTTGGATCAGTGTCTCCCTTTTTTTTTAATTGAAGTATAGTCAGTTCACAATGCTGTGTCAGTTTCTGGTGTACAGCACAGTGTTCATGGATGAGTGTCTCCTAAATGCCTTCCTCGCTCTGCCTCCTCGGTCGCTCTCCACGTTTCTGTTTCTTAGCCCCCAGCTCCTCACACCGTGACCTGGGGGAACAGGTTCCGTGAAGGACAGAGGGGTGGCCCTGGGCTGCCCAGGAGTCCGGCGGGTGGAAGGTCAAAAGTGGAGCCAGCCATCTGTCTCACTCTGGGTCTGGAGTCCGGCTGCCCGAGGCAGGAAACCTGTGACAGAAACTCCCCTCAGGATCCAAGTGATGCTTTTGAGTCCCCAGGCAATGCTAGATTGAACCAGAGAGCGTGGACCATGGGCCTGGGGGAAGCTTCTGAGAGATCTGTCACTTGCTGGGAAGCTGGGAGTTGGGAGCTGAAGGTTGACCTGACCAAGGAGAAGCCCAGGTGGTGTGGACGCCCCTCCGCCCCCGCCCCCCGCCCTCCCCTACCTGCTACCCTGGGGCCGAGGACAGGAGGACCACCTCCTGCTCACTTCCAACCGCGTTTTGCTCTCTGTTGTGTGGTACTCAGTGCAGGATCCGCTCGGGAGAGCTGGGGCGAGGCTGGCTGAGGTTCTCAAGGAGCTGAGTTTTGAGTTCAGGTGCCCGCCCGGCTGTGGAATGATGCTTCCAGACCTTTCAGACCTTTGAGACCTCTGGGCGCTCTCAGACAGCACTTCAAGCCTCCCGTCGGCATCCGGCGGCCCAAGGGAGTCCCAGGGAAAGGCGGCAGGTAAAGTATCCTTTCTGAGTTTTATTCCCTCCTGTCCTCCCTCCCTTCCTTTCCGTGTGTCTGTGTTGCTCTGTTGTCTCCTTCTTCTCAACGTGCCAATGACAAGTGATGCAGGGGAATTTATTTTCTGCTCTTGTCAACAGAGAGGCGATGGATGGAAAGGTGGCGGGTAACCCCAAGGTGCTCACGACAGCATCCCGGAGATTCCACACCACTGGCTGCTCCCAAGCACGAAGCCACCTTCCCCGGGAGGTGACAGGAAGCCAGCCTGGAGGAGGTGAGCAAGGTCAATCCCTCTGCCCTAGACTCCATCAGCCTTTGGCTGTCGGATGACAGGCCTTCTCCTGTGTGTCCTTCTACAGGCTCCCCTTTTTGGCCAGAGGACCGACCACCTTCTCGGGTGTCCTGGGAACTGCCGGAGGACATAGAGGGGGATGCTGCTGGTCCCCAGGACAGAACCCAGCAGCTGGAACCCAGAAGCCCCCAGCCCGGGACTCCAGCCCAGCCTCCTTCAGACTGTGCTGCCTGAGCGGCGGTTCAGATTGGACTATTTTTGCTTTGTTGTCACCTCACTGACACATAATCCTGGATGCTTTTCAATGGTCGGCTTTTCTTTTTCCCCTCCATCTTTTCTTTTTCTGGGCCCTGGGGATTGTAAGAAAAGAATTACTTGGGAAAATATAATTCTGTTGCCGAAATTAGCCTTGTTTATGAACAAATTCTGTCCCTAGGGATTTTCTGAATTGCAATTCCAGAGTACCTCCTAAATGGTGTTGCGTGGTTCGATGTGCATGGTTCTGATCCTTAGATTAAAAATACATTTACTTTTCTTCCTTTTTTTTTTTTCCTCCACATTGGGAGCCAGGTAATGGCCCAAGTCACATTTACTTAACTACTGAAGCGGTCTCGGTGCAGTGTTGCTTCAAGTCTAATCAAACGTATATTGTGAGGAGGGTGCAGCTCAGTGGTGGCGCGCATGCTTAGCATGCACGAGGTCCTGGGTTCAATCCCCAGTGCCTCCATTAAAAAATAGAAAGATAAATTAAAAACACCCGAATTACTCCCCCACCAAATGAAAGGGAGGGAGACAGACAGACAGACAGAAGGAAAGAAATGGCCTTTAAAAATTATACATTATACCCTAGACTCTTGCACCATATCTGGTATGTATGTTACTTTGCACCTTGTAGATTGAAATTTAATTCCTGACCGATCCTGCAGCTGGAATGGGGGAGAAATGATGCGTATCAAAGTGCCTTTAAACACCCTGAACGTAAACTAACCCACAGTAAGTGGGTGGTTTTCGGAGGCGGAGCCGAGACCGGGGACCCCCTGCTTGGCTGGCTGTTCTGGAGGAGGTGGGAACGAGGCCCCTTCTTCTGTGTCTGGGTCTGCTTCTGGCTGGGGTCCTGTAACCGTGCCTGCCTCGCAATAAAACACCTTCAGCTGACTCCGCGGCGAGGTCTCTGTCCGATTCCTGTGATGCTGTGTCCTCGGTGGCTTTGCAGGGGTCCGGGGTGGCCCTGCACTGGGTCGGCCCGCTGGGGATCCCAGTGGGAGGCGGTGCCGCGGCTCCTTTGGAAACAGCTAGGCGTGGGGTCAGTGCGTGTGACCAGCGCTCCTGCTCTCCGTATGAGAGTTGGTTCTAGAAATCTCTGCTCATCACAGAGCCCTGCTGGGTCAGTGAGCTGCGCCCTGCCCTCGCTTTCTCCCTCTGGAGCCCATTTGTTTCCGTGAGACCCTCAGACAAGCCCCCAGCCCTCTGAACCTCAGTTTCCTCATCCACAAAATATGTGGCTATGTGAGGGTAGTGGCGCTTCCCGCAGTGACAAGTGCCCTTAGAAGGACGGCCCGTGGGTGGTACTTAGATGGGGGCCACGCCGGGCAGAGGCAGCACCGAGTGCAGGGTGGTGAGTGTATTTGTTAATCAAGAATTGAAAGAACATTCCTTTGAGTTGGCTTTTGCTCGGGGTCACTGAGTAACCTCAGAGTGGCTTCTCACCTCCTTGCTGGAAGCCTTTGGAATGAATGATTCCCGGGCGGAAGTCAGGAGGGGAGAACACGCTGCTCCCTGCCGTGCCCACGTGGCCACACCTTATTCCTCCTTCCGTGGAGCGGGGCAGAGCTGTCCCTCCTTCTCGGAGATGACGCTGCTGCCTTGACAGAAAGGGAAACTTACATGTACTTCGATGTGCACACCTTGCACGCCTGTTTTCACTGCCGGGCCCAGGCCATCTGAGGGCAGGCAAGTCTCTAAACACGGACACAGAGGTCACCTCGGGGGAGAAGGTGACCCATCTCAGGCCTCATCAGGCTGCCTCTGCCACGTTGGTAGAAAGCACTCTCCTCTCTTCCTCCGCACCTGAGGTTCCAGGATGACCAGGATGTGATGCAGACCAGAGCTAAGATAACTCATTCCATGTTGGGTGGCCAGGGGCTTTGCTCTGATTGCCATGGTCTGTAGTATCCTCATGATCCCTGGACTTCAAGGCATGCGTAGTAGAAAGAACACTTCCTGATTTCTACCTTGAAGTCATTCAGCTGGTCGTAACAACGCGACAGCAACTAACACTTGTTGAGGATTTTTTTTTTTAACAGAAGTATAGTCAGTTACAATGTGCCAATTTCTGGTGTACAGCACAGTGTCCCAGTCATGCATATACAGACATATATTCATCTTCATATTCTTTTTCATTAAAGGTTATTACAAGATATTGAACATAGTTCCCTGTGCTATACACAAGAAACTTTTTAAAAACATCTATTTTTATATATAATGGCTAACATTTTAAAATATCTAACTCCCAAATTTATCGCTTCCCACCCATTTTCCCCAGTAACCATAAGATTGTTTTCTATGTCTGCAAGTCTGTTTTTGTTTTTTAGGTGAGTTCATAGTGTCCTTTTTTTTTTTTTAGATTCCACATATGAGTGATATCATGTAGTATTTTTCTTTCTCTTTCTGCCTTACTTCACTTAGAGTGACGATCTCTGAGTCCATCCTTGTGGCTGCAAAAGGCATTGTTTTATTCTTTTTTACGGCTGAGTAGTATTCCACTGTATATATATAAAACACAGCTTCTTTATCCAGTCATCTGTCCAGATGGACATTTAGGTTGTTTCCATGTCTTTCCATGTCTTGACTATTGTCAATAGTGCTGCTATGAACATTGGGGCGCATGTGTCTTTTTGCATTAGAGTTCCCTGTGGATATATGCCCAGGAGTGGGATTGCTGGATCATATGGTAACACTTGTTGAGTATTTAGTACCTACTGGGCACTGGGCACAGCATTTTACAAACACTGGCGCATGTCATCATCAGAACAACTTTGTGAGGTAGGTCCTTGACTCCCATGACTTGGGTGAGAAACAGGCATAAGGGGTGAGGTAACTGGGCCAGGCAGGTCCCGCAGCAGGTGAGAGAGTCACAGCTGGGATGCACTTCAAAGTCAGGAGGACCCTGGTCCCTTTACCATTGTGTGCTGCCCCTTCCAGCCCCTGGAATCTCACCTTGGGATTGTTATTGCCCTTACTTATAACTTGGGGCAATTACCTACCGTCCGCGCCTGCCTGCCTACCACAATTATTGTCTGAGCTCGGCAGGTGTATGCCAGCTCACTGCAAATAAGTTTGAGAAGGAAAGTTTTTATTTTAAACATAGGTATTTTTTAAGCTAAAAATGTGTGTGCGTATGTATATACGTATATATATGTGTGTGTATATATATGTGTGTCCGGTTTCAGCCCACCGTGTGCTGAGATCTCTAGCATTCTGAGGTTTCAGAGCACCGTATCCAGACGAGGTCCTGATGGATGTGAACGTTAAGCCCAGGAGCTCCCTCGAGGGTCAGTGAGCAGGCACTCACTAAAAGGCCAAACAGTGTCAGATTTTTCAGCAACACGAAGCTGGCTCTAACCTTAGTTCCTAAAGCCTGCATCAAGGGACAGCCTCCTGTTGGATGGACATAACCTCCTCCTAGTTCCTCCAGCAGCTTATCCACAAGGCGGTGTCCTCGTGTGTTTGTTTGGAGGATCACTGGCGTTTAAAGCAGTTTACATATTTGCAGGCAGATGGTGGTAGCAGATGTGGTTGGTGCCTTGTCCATATTTCTGGGGGCTTTCTGGGGGGCACCTGTGTGCATCCCAGGCCAGAAGTGCTGGGGTGTTCTCCCCTCTGCCCTAAGGTGAGCCCGCAGCCAAGACTGAGGAGTGTCGGTGTATAAACACCCCAGCTCCCTCCCCGTTTGGGTGCACTGGCCTGTTCCACGCTGGCTCTGAGGTCCCCGTGAGGTGGCACTGCGTTTGCCCCTGATGGGAACTAGTTTGCTAACCCACTTTTGTTGGCTGCCTTCCCTTCCTTGTTTCATACCTCCCTTCTCAACTGGTATTTCCCGGGATCACCTCTCCAATAAGTAGTTTATTTGCACATAAATTCCTGCCTTAGGGTCTGCTTCTGAGGGGAGCCCAGGCAAATTCAAAGTCCTGGGGCTAGGCAGTTACAGAAATAATAACGTCCCAGAGAAAGCACCGCAGTGTGTACCACTCAGCGCTGAGCAGCGTTCCCCCAGGTCCCTCTGATGCCTCTGCTGCCTTAGGATCTGGAAAGGAGACCTTGTAAATCTGAGAGCCACTCGCAAAGGACAGTTTCCTTCCCGTGAAACAGGCATTGCCACAGGTTATCAGAGATTTTTCCTTTAAAGGAAGGACTCAACATAGGAGACCAGCCGAGAGTCACCTGACAGCAAATCAAATTACAATTCACCGGCTGGGACGAGTAATTAAATAGAAGGGGGTAATGGGAAAAGCAGGGAGTCTCAATCCCTGAGCCCCCCTCTCACCTCTCAAGGACTCCTATTTGCCTTTGAATCACTTCTGCTTCGATTAACATTGATTGAACCTGCCCTGGGTGGCTGGCTCCTGTCACATCCCATCACCGGAGGCTCCAAGACGCTCTGTCTGCAAGCCTTTGTTGTGCGGGGACATTTTGGGGGCACTGTTGACTGTTGTGTGGAGGAGCTAACGCATCGGATCAGCATGGTTATAATGAGGTTTGCTTTTTCCACACGGCGGTTTTGTAAACGGGATGCCATCTCTGCCATGATCCTTGGCGACTTGAAACAATTCTCTTAAGTTCAAACTATGAGGCTCTAAAAAGCACGCCAGGCTGACCCACGACTCCTTTTAAAAGATGGACATTGAGCAGGTTGGCTTGTGAAGTTGGAAACTGTGCCTGAGTCTTTGTTAGAGGCATCGCACAGCTCATTTGGGTTTCTGTTGGTGCGTGGAGCACACACACACAGACACATTTCTCTCTGGGGTGTCCAATGAGAGCCTGATGTTTGCTGTCAGAGATGTCAGTGAGGTTGGCATTGTATCCGGGTCTGCCTCACCTCTCCGGGCTCAGGCCTGGAAGGGATGCTGGGGCTGTATTTTATCCTTCTTGTTTTCAGTGGATGGCTGAGATCAGCGCTTTCTTTGTGTGAGGTATCCATTCCCCCTTTATCCGTTCCAAATAATTGAAGTAGATCATGGAAAATATTTATGTTATAGATTGCCTGCTGAATTTTAGTTTCAGCCAACAGCAGTGAACACCCAGCCCTGCGCTGTCGGGTGAAGGAAGGAGAAATCAAAGCCCCATCCTCGGAGGCATAGTATGATGTTGGAGGCAAGATTCCTACTAGGAAAAAAAAATCAGAGAATAACATTGCTCCTAGGATCTTTAATGACCAAGATTCTTTTATGTAGGGAAAATTATTAGCTACCCTCGGTAACTTTTGAACGCCCGTATCTGTAATCTCATTCATTAGTAAATGCTTTCCTCAACATTCGGTTGCTACCTTTGCCCCTAATAAATCAAAAACATATTTTATGAATCAATCATCTTCAATATTTAATTGCTGCTTACACATTTAAGTAGACAAATTCTCCTAAATATTTCAATCAAATCTCTACCAATTGCATTTCAAAAGCTTCACAAATTTTCAAAGCAGACAGCATGCACATGCATGCAGAGACACACTCAAGTAATCTCAGTGGGATTCAGAATGTATTATACCTCCGCTTAAATGATTAAGAAGTATTTACACTATGGATTTGATTTATGTTTTCATTATTTATGAACTTGATTCATAGCCTCCCTGTATTTTATACTTCTCACTGTTTATACTTTGCTAGAGTTACGGTCATACAGAATGCCGCGTCAGACCAGCTGAGTTCACAGATCCTGGGAGATCAGTCCCTTAGTTTTGGTTGGCATGTGGGATCTTAGTGGAGCTCTTGAAAGTTGATTCCATCCTGGGCTGATGTTTTGTCTCAGAGTCACGCAAGGTTCAGCTGCCACATCAGTGAACCATCAGACGCCCATGTCCCATATCAGCAACGTGGAGCGCCCCCAAGGGTTCCTGTGTCCATCACATCTTCGCCCCAGGCAGTGAGCCTTTACTTCGTGAGGTCTTGGTTTCTCAGTAATTTTTGACTAAAAACACCCAGTGATTTCATCATTTAAGGGATGGAGAGGGGGTCTAGGCAACAGATTCTCTTTGGATCACTGCCTCATGCACCAGCCTTACGTGTGACCATAGGAGCTGACCACTCTTCTGGTCAACCAAGGAAAACCTCCAACTTTCCTTGAGTTACTTGACTTAAAATTATCTCATCTGTTCTTTCTTATGTGCTGAGAAGAAAAATCAGACACAGAACATCTCTAAATATCAATTCTCTAACCTACTTATTAAAATATTTTTAAAAATGCCCAAATATGATTTTAGTTTCCAGTGACCTCTCTGTGTACCTTACACGTTTTCAGTGCTGGGTACCATTATGCACAGAAGGCTTTTCACAGACACGTTATCCCAGCGCACTATAATGATTCATGGTGTTCAAATCAGTGCAGCGTGTGCACCCCATTAAGCTGCCTCCCTTGTCTTCTTGGCATCGCTCC